GTATCCCATAGTTCCCTCGGTAGATACGAAACAGAGGTTGCCTGTTCATTTTTGTAGAGGAGAAAATGTAGTAGATACTGAATCATGTGAAAGAATTGCAAATTGCAAGAGATTGATGGGCAAGCCAAAACTAATAACTTTTGCAGGTTGCAGTACTCGTCTTTGTGGGAATTGTCATAGCGGGAGCTGCTTTAGGATTCTGGACGGTGAGGAAATTTGTGATTTCAGCAGATGGAGGTGTCGATGCTAGTGTTGCCCAATTTGTGAAATGGGCAATGCGTACTATTGCCACTACATTCATTTTCCAGGTATAGTGTGTCATTTACAGTGCTCTATTCATTATATAATTCAATAGCATCTGTTTTTAAATTCTACCATCCTTCTATTTCAGAGCACTCTTGATACCCCTTTGGCGATGGGAGCTTTAGTTTCATGTAGCACCTTCTGCTTTCTCATCAGCAAAATAATGCGTAAAAGGTATCTGTCAGTTCATCTTGCTTCTCTTTCTTATTCCATCTGTTTTAGCCTAGTAAAACGTACTAGTCTGAAGTATCTCCAAAATGACCATATTTTCATTCAAATTCGTGGTCACTCCGTTATTATTTTAACTAGAATGATTCGAGGAATTTCCTCACTGTACTGAGGATATTTGCCGTTCAAAAAATGTCTATCTGATGGAAAATATGGCTACAATGGGGAACTAAAACATCATATTGATCTGGTTAATTCAGAGCCTGGATGTAATCTAGTTTGAGATTGTGTCATAGAAGTAAATCTTTTATTTTCTTAATTTAGGAAAAATCTTGAAGATCAGATACATTGGCAGCTCGTATCTGCAAAGAAACCCACTAAACATGGACGAGCTGAATTTCTTAGCAGGTCGTCTCAACCAACCCCCGGAAGAAGTCTATGGAACAATCAGAGGAATGTACCTTTGATCTCCGGCTCTCCTGCCAGAGGTATGCTTTTCTTTTCATGCTTGCGCCTGCCAGCCATGATAACCATTACAGGTTGTTTAACTTTATTCATCAAACATCATCATCCTGCTATAAATGAAATCGATTTATATCATCTCTACTCCCTCTCTCTGCCCAAAGACTAACCAATCCCATCTTCAAATATAAATTCCTGCATAAACCCTCAGCTGTAATAGTCTCTCAAAAACTAAATTTTGGATAAATCTTCAAGCTTTTTCTCCATTTCGTAATGGGTATGCTCTGTGTTGGCTTTCCATAGAGTAGCAACCTTTTTTTGGGTATCAACATCTTCATTAGTTGTAACAGGTATTATGATCTCACCGTCATCCTCTGCGAGAAGACGGAGAACAGTCCAGAAGGATTTCTACTCGACATACCATAGGACACCAAACCGGAAGAAGTTCACAAAGAAAGAGTGGGAAGAGTTCACACGCGAGTCAACCCGCCAAGCCATGGCGGGACTTGCATCTTCCCCTGAATTCACAGATTGGATCATTGAGCATGCTGACCGGATCCAGCTTCTGCCCGGCGAAAGCTCTGAAGAGATAATGGGAAGTGAATCAGATTCGACTGGAGATGATGTTGTTGAGCAGTGGAACCACTTCGGCTTGTAGAGCTGGTAAGAGCCTTCGTCTACATTTACATAGGTTCTCTCTTATCATGACCTCGGCATAGATATATCGTTTTTTAGTAGATCGAAAGGTTTAAGATTATTATCGAAAGAAGGGTAAAATCGGTTTGTATACCACGTTTTCCACATCTAGCATAATCTGAGTTGAATTTGAAGTGGGTTCAGGACGGATTAGGGTTTAAAGGTTTAGAGTTTAGCTATTTAGGGTTTAAGGGATGTGTTAAAAGGTTCTTTATTCATGCATTTTCCCCCTTTTGCACTCAATTTTGATGGTTGGTGCATTTGGTTCTCTAGTTTTGTCTACTCACTTCCGGCCCCTTAGATCCGAGAAACGTGGATTCCATGAGTTCGGGTTCGTAACTTGATTGAGATTATAGTAGACCGATTAGGATTTGTATTTGAATTTCACAATTTGTATAAATATCATTTATATTTATTAAAAATTATGAAGTTATTCTTCGTTTTAAAAATCACGAAATTATCTTGAATTTTTAAAATTTATAACAACAATGATAATTATTAAATTTTAAAAATTACATTAATTGTTCTACCACATTTGGATTGGGATATCTGAATGTTTTCGAATACTTGATCTGATTTCAGATTTTAGTACAAATTCTAATATTCCAAAATTTTAAATTTGAAGATGACAGAACAATATATAAAAGAACTCATACGCCTCCCAAATCGAATGACATGAAAAAAAAAAACTCATGCCATAGAATCCTAAACGTGAGCCGAATCAAGAACATGTAAGCAATGAAAAAGAGATGGTTATTGCTTGCTTAGTCATTGGGTCATAATGCTCTATCGAATAATTATATTTTTTAATGAATGAAATAAGAATATGAAATTATATAATGTAAGATAAAATCGTATTAAAATTGAAGGCGAAATGATTAATTAACGATGGCCTACCCCTTTCACACTCAACTATCACCTTCACGCACCAAAAATGCCACGTCGATAAGAGTGACGTTACCTTTCGATAACCTTCGACCCTTCGTAAATTTGAGCGGCCATTTTTGTGCTCTCGTTCTTATTCACACACAACTATCAACATTTGGATAATATGCTAATAATAATTGCAATATTGGTTTTTGTACCAACGGAATCTTGGTCTTTTCGATCCAATCAACTGAATCTACTGTCTATCATGCTGGAATTAAAAACACATTGTTGAAAAATATAATATTCTATTATTCGGTCTTGGTGGTGTGAATACACATTAAAGAATTGCAAGTGTTGGAACAGCGAGTGGCCATACGACAGAATAGTTTTCCATATAGCAGCTTTCTCCGGTGACAGTGTCATAGGTAATGAACATCCATTTGTTAGCACAAATGTGGCGGGTTGCTCCAGTGTCAATCCACCATTCTCTCGGATTATCTCCGACCATGTTCATTTCTGACACAACTACTACGAATTCTGAATCTCCATCTTCCACTTCAGCTACATGAGCTTGGGTCTTATTCCCAATTTTCTTCTGGGCACCTTCCTTGCGATGATAACAATCCTTCGCCAGATGTCCAGCCTTGCCACAGACGTAGCAATTCCCCTTGAATTTCTTGGAGTTAACATTCTTATCAATCTTCCGCTTTTTAATCCCTTTGGCCTTAGTCATCTCAACAACATTTGCCTTGGATCCAAACTGCCCATTCATTTTAAGAATAGGTTGAGACTCCTGCCGAATTCTCACACGACGATGTAAATCCTTCAAAGACATGTCCTTAGGTTTTTG